CTATTTATAAGTACTTTACTCTTTTATTTTATTTTATTTTTTATCTCTTTCCTAATGCACATTCCCTTGCTTGTTGGCATGTACATTGAGAGCAGCTGTACCAGAGACAAATTCCTCATGTGTCCAACACACCTGGCCATTAAAGCTGATTTTGATTCTGTTTCAGCTGTTATAGTTTAACAATAATAAAGTCAAAGGATGTATTGTCCTGTACAGTATCAGTATCTGCTTAACATTCAGTCAGTACACAAAGAAAGTAGAAAGAAAACAACAATATCTACAAAACTAGACAGCACTCCACTCAGAGAGTGCAAACCTCTGCCAAGGCAGATCAGTAGACCTCCTGCTGGGACCCCCTGCAGTTCGCCTACTGGGGAAATAGGCCAGTGGATGATGCAGTCAAAATGCCGCTGCATTACATCCTGGAACACCTCAACTCCCCAGGGACCTATGCACGGGTTCTGTTTGTGGACTTCAGCTCGGTGTTCAGCACCATCATCCCAGACATCCTCCACTCCAAACTGACCCAGCTCACTGTGCCTGCCCCCACCTGTCAGTGGCTCTCCAGCTTTCTGACAGACAGGAAGCAGCAAATGAGGTTGGGGTAAACCACATCCAGCACCCGGACAATAAGCACAGGCACCCCCCAGGGATGTTTGCTCTCACCGCTGCTGTTCTCCTTTTACACCAACAACTGCACCTCAGGGGACCCCTCTGTTAAATTCCTGAAGTTCGCAGATGCTACAACAGTCATTGGTCTCATGCGAGACGGTGACGAGTCAGCCTACAGATGGGAGGTTGAACAGCTGGTCCTGTGGTGTGGTCACAACAACCTGAACAAGCTCAAAACAGTGGAGATGACAGTGGACTTTAGGAAGAACCCCCAGCAGAGGATGTACTTCCTGCGCCAGCTCAGGAAGTTCGACCTGCCCCCGGAGCAGCTGCTACTGCAACTGTACCAGATAGCGTTTAATTTTTAAATTCGTGTAATGATGGTGCCCTTGTTAGTGGTGCAGGGTTTTTATTATTCTTGCTCAAATGTTTTGTACATGTACCTAAAAATATAGATGTGGAATGTTTTAGTTTTGTATTTGCCAAGGAAAACGAATCCTAAGAACCAGGAAGCGTGTTTCACCTACACTATATGCATATTTGTATATTTCAGTTTTTGAGGTCTGGCTTTGTGTTTGTATTTTTGGTGGGGGCGGGCCTTTCCAAATGTACTGACAAATAATATTTGGCATCTCCAAACATTCTCCTGCAGTGTGTGAATTTATCTTTTCAGTGTGTTTTCCATTAATTATGACTTCCCGGCTGTATGACATCAGCTTTTTATTGCAGTGGCTATTAGAGAGGGCAGCTGCGAGTGGCCGCAGGCTGATGTAGTGATGCTAGACAGACTGCAGACTGCTCAGGAGCTACACACACACACACACACACACACAGAGATCCATTAGTTGATTAGAGGGGGTTGAGAGCCACAAAGCACCACTCTTCTTGATTATCCCATAATGTGGAGTGCTGCCTTGGTTTCCCCCAGCAACCAGAACAAAGAGCCGCCTGAATCTGCCTCGTATGTAGGAAACAACACACACTGCTGTAGAACACAGGGGAGGACACTCGTCTTGTGTGTAACAGCAGCGTTTCCTCTTTATGCATTCATTACGAGCACCACTGCTGAAATTTTACAGGGTTCATTATTATTCACAATGAAACATAACGACTGCAAGTTGTGCTTATTACGCTGTGTGCAGCTGCTCAGGCCTAGTATGAATTGCAGGGGATTCTACCACACACACACACACACACAGATGTAAGTGTTTAGCAGCCCAACGTAGGCTGTTCACATGCGCAGCAGCTGCACAATTCACAGAGGAGAAGTGGTACACAGCTACTGCAAAGGTAGTAGCTGTGTACCACAATACCAGAACTGAGTGAAACAGAGTGAGCACGCTCATGGCAAAGTGATTGTTACAGTGGTTACCAGCTACACATTATCACTGGTTACCAGCTACACATTATCACCAGGGGTTACCAGCTGCACATTATCACCAGTGGTTACCAGCTACACATTATCACCAGGGCCCAGCCTGTTTCGTACACTGTATCACCTGAACTGTTCACATTAATACCTCTGTGTACATTGGTGGACTGAGTTACAGCCGTCTGTAGGGAATACTGCCGAACCTCGTGTGCCCCATCTGGTCAGGATATGACATTTGTGCACAAAAAATAAAAATTTGTACTCAAGCCGTTTATAAGAAATGCAATATTAAAAAAGTAAGCTCAGGCCTATTCAAAGTGATTTTATTTGTGCTTCATTATTTGAAGTCACCACAGTCATCTGACATATTATAACTTCAGAATTAAAGAAGCAAGAATGTTTTGATGGAACAAAGTACAACTGAATGAGTCACAACAGTAAAGTCATTTAGATGTTGTCAATGTTTAATTTCTCCAAAAATATTTTGAATGCACAAACAAATCGAAGTGAATTTTTAACGTCCTGAGGAATGGCTCAGTAAAGCAAAGCAGAGATGTAAACTGGTCGCAGGTTAATGAGGGGACGTGCTTTATGTCAGTGTGTAAATTCTTGAATATCCCTGTCTAGAATTATTTCTCCACTGGTGCACAAAAATGCAGGTCTGATGTGCACAGCACCAGTGTGGGAAACACTGCTTCGTGCACAAACACAAACGTGCACACATGAAAAGGGACAGCCCGAGGTGCCGAGTTTTCCTTTGAAGGCTCTGAACACACACACACACACACACACACAGTGTAGCTCCGTGCAGCTTGACAACAAAGTGGATTTATCTCCAGTTCTTTCCTTTTTCACTCATTGCACACCTTTTGTATTTTTCAGTTTTTGTGACAATCCCTTGCTCTTCCTCCTCTCGGTTGACTGCCCCTCTGCACTCTCTCCTCCCATCTCTCCTCTATTTGCCTCCACAGTTTTCTTCCAACCTTTTTTCCTCTCAGCATCATGACCCTCGCCTTCTCTCTGTTTGTGGGAGGCCTCAGTTTCTCCCTTTCTCTCTAAAACTCCATCTTTTTTTCCTGTAGCTCTTCATACTTCAACCCTTGTGAACCTTTCCAAAAATCCTTGCTTTCTCTCTCAGTGCTTCTGAGTGGCAGATGAAAAGCACCCATAGCGTAGATATTCTGAATTTTATAACATACACACTGTCTTCAGTACAATGTGCACACTCGCACTGATCCAGGCAGTAGACACATCTCTACCCTCCTCACTGAAATCAACAGGGACATGGAGTCGCATGACTCCACGTTTAAAAGCCTGACATTTTTACATCTGTCTGGAAGGTTTAATGAAAGAAACATTTACAAGAAACTTTAGTGAGAAAATCTGCTGCTCCACGTGGGGCAGACGAGTCGATCTCTCAATCTAACTTGAAAAGTCAGACATGAGAAAAAACTGAAGTAACTAAATCTCTCTAGCTCAACCACCAACTAGCACAACTTCCAGAAAGTTTGCATTCTTTATCTCAAAATGTAGTTGTTCAAAATAAAAACCTAATGCTTAAAATCTACAGCCATGCTAGCAGGTTGTACTTGAAGTTCGCTTTACATCCTTAGCATCGTAGTGCTTTCAGCTAAATGCTAATGTCAGCTTCCTACCATGCTTACAATGAGAATGCTAACATGTAGTGTTTATCTTTATGTTGACGTGTTAGCATTTGTTAATTAACAGTAAATCACAGAGGCTGATGAGAACATCAGTAGTTTTTCAGTACCAAAGTACTGGACAGGTTTAAATTTTGATCTGATGATGGTGCTAGAAGGTCAGGGGATCACCAAAGCCATTGGGATTAATCCTGTGAGGACCATAAATATCTGAATAAAGATTCGTGTTGATCCAGCCTGTATTTGTCAAGGCACTCCAGTCTGGACCAGCAGACCAAGCCATCATCAGAACCATGGTGTTATCGCGGTTAAAAATATGCCCTGTATGCATACACACACAAAAACAGCCCACTAACTTACAAATCTTACGTCCTCTGCGGTGACGTCATGGTGAACCCTGTATCCAGTCCCATTGTCACGCGGGTCGTGACCTTTGCCCGGACCTTTGCCCTGGGTAAGGTTGGTGTAGTAGCGAACAAATCGGGAGCGGCGGACCAGCAGGTGAAGCAGGAAGCAGAGCAGCTCCATGCTGATGGAGACGAGGAAGAAGATGAGCGTGTTTTTCGTCTCGTCGGTGATCAGCAGCTTGGTGAATATGCGAGACAGAGAGATGATGACCCCGGCTGTACCTGCAGAGAGAGGAGGGAATGGGTGAAGCAGAGGATCACAGGGAGGGAGTTGTGTATTTGCAATGTCTTTGTCTGTGTGGGCAGACTTACTCTCTCCAGTCATCACCCCCTGTGTGTACCTCTTGGGCAGCATCCCCATGTAACCATAGAAACTGGACTGCTGCACTGGGGAGGGACGAGGAAGTGACAGTCAGTGCAATCCGTGTCCTAGCAGTCAATACAGTAACAACACAATTTATTTAAAGGCTCAACCTGCTGAAGCTCCACAGGCCAGCTTTGACCTCCGGACCTCCACTAATTGAACCACCTCTTCTGTTGGCTGACGGGCTCGGTGTTCACAGTAACAACAAACTGGCTCGGTGTATGAAAGTCATTAGCAGCCGCTGACAACTGAAGCCTCGACTGTTTGTATTTGTCCTGACACATCTGACTGATCCCACCGTCACCAACTGCATTTACACACATATTAAGTGTAGGTTGATGGGCAAACGGGCAAGTGTGAAAAAATGGAAGGGGACAGAATCCCTGCTGTTCATCCTCAGACTGATAATGAGACACTGGGCACCTGTGCACGGACATGTACAAAGACTGAAAGAGAGTTTTGTGTATTTATTTTGCATCTCTGTGGTTATTTTTGTCTGTGGTTTACTTGTTTATGAGGTTGTTTTGCATGTCCCTGCGCTCATTTTGCATCTCTTTGTGACTGTCCTATATTAATCATTTTGCTTCAAGTTGCTGTTGATTGACTTTCCAAAAAGAAATGTAACAGTCTCTAAACGGGGCTCTGGTCCAGGAGCCCCATGATCCCCTGGGCCCCTGGCCTTCTGATCAGTAATGAATCCATGTGTTCACCAGTTAGTTGCTAACTGTGTCAGTCTGCTGAATGGGTCTGGGCATTTTGCTGAATTCAGCTGCCTCCTGTACAAAAACTGTACAAAATGCAGCCTCTGGTCTGAAGCTACCGTTTTCTAGCTGACAAGCCTCTTTGTTCTACAGCAGCATAGCTCAAATTACTCCCAAATTAAAACCATATTAATTCAATATGGGACCTGTCCAGGGTGTACCCCGCCTTCGCCCGATTGCCGGCCGGGATTGGCTGTAGGCAGCAGAGGGTCATGGAGGGGGGGTGTAGCTGAGAGACACCATGTCCTGTATATAGATAAGCATTATTAGTAGTAGTACCTGTACACCCGAAGGCCACCACTCCCACTGACACGAGGTTGATGATGTAAGCCTGTGCAGTGGTGAACTTTTCCAGCCAGACGTCAAACACACTGACAAACACCAGTGGCCCCAAAGCTAAGATGTACCCTGCAGAGAAAGGGACAGACAGATGGACTTAAGGATAGAGAGACAGTGAGGAGACATCACTGAACTAGGTCATGCTGTGATCGCATGACTGAGCACATATTTGACGTAGGAGCAGCGCCACTTTCATCTGAAGTCTGAGCCCAAGTTTTTCAGCTCCAGAGACGAGCTCTCGAGCACACAACACATTTCAAAAGACAATTCCTCAAGGATGCAAGAGGAGCTATTTTAAGCTGCAGTGGTGAAACCTTGCTCTGAGACGCACCATATACATGTAGATATCAAACCTCTCCTAAGGGGAAATACTTTTTGAAAAAACATTTTAAAAATGTTTAACCAAAAAAGTTTTTATTGGCGTTGGTAGGCTGACAGCTTTAATATTTTCATGATGTTAGCCTTAAGACATAAGGCTGAGTTTCAGTGAATATTTCTGGGCCACATTCTCTCCTTCCAGTACCCGGCTTAACTTTGAACAAACGCAATGTAAGATCTGCCTGAATGTGTATGGTTTACTTAACCATGTATTGAGTTTGCTTTAAAAGGGATTTGAAAGACTAAAACTAAACTGAAATGGTGCCAGAGCTTTTACAAAAGGAGCATTTTAAAAATACCCATACTCGTGAAAGATAACCCTTGTGAATCCACAGTCTTTGGCAAAGTTTGTTTGGAGCAATTTATGAATAGAAACCACAGGAGAATTATTGCAGGATGTATTTTTCTTTTTCTCCATATACTGTCTTCCCATTTAGTTCTGCGTACTCTGTTCTGTTGAGCCTCGAGGTTCCCAGAGGCTGATTTCTAAATGAGTAACAGTAGAAGCTTGTATAGTGAGGAAAATGTTCAAACATAAAGACTTGTCAGTGAGCTGGTTCTTCTCTGACTCACCCACAGTGATCCTGGTGTGCATGCTGAGTCTCTCCACCAGCACGTTGTTGAGGATGACGGCCAACAGAGCCACCAGGATGTACGTCAGGCTCATGTCAAACACTATGGACGTCCCTGAAACACACGCCAGCCATGACTCCTGGGTCCTGGACATGGATGTGAACTCTACAGGTGTGTATTTGTGTGTGTAAAATGCATGCGTTCTCTGTGGACACATGCACAGATTAATTGGTGCTCAACCTTCAAACTTGTGGTGCAGGTAGTCCACATCAGTGATGAAGCTGTTATAGGGAAGCAGGAAGCCCACTCCAGCCAGTAGCATTGCAAAGTAGATGCCATGGTAACGGTCGTCAGGGATCGGCTCCTCAAAGTCTGAGCGGGATCGAAGGAGTCGGGGTTAGAGAATTGAAAAAGTATGAAATTACGCTCAAACAGTGGGGATAAAAACGACTTCACAGTGTTCGATCTGAAGCCGTGATCTTCATTAACGCTAATCAGGATGAATGAAGCTGGAGCAGCAGCTACGCTGATGGAGTAGCTGAGGACCTTGGCCCTGTTGTGTTGGTGAATCAGAGATGTGCTGCCCGTGTTGTTACTGTTAAAACCTGGACGTTGTGTTTTGCATCTGATTCACTTTCATGGTTAAATCCTGTACGTTTACTTTTAATGGCTGTGGATTTACGTTGAGGTTTTACTGGAGGGAGGACAACGCGATGAATTAGAGATTATTTGTTTCACTTCTTAATGACCCATTTAATGTAGTATTATGCCTGCAGGTATGAGAACTAGCTCCTCAGTAATTCACATTGTTTCTAATAAATGCATACCTGTTTAATTACTGTAACTACATACAGTATGTGGTAGGAATGCATACAGCTCCTTTCCAGTTCTACTGTTCTGTGGGTTTGTCGTTCCTGCTGTTAAATAAAACACTGACACACAGGAAGTGAAGTGGTTTGGGCTTACAGCAGCAGATTTGATCACAAGAATGGAAACTGTGTAGTTAGCAGGAGCAGTAATAGTCAGCATGGCTGCACAGACCAGAGGTCTGCAGAACGTCAAACCTCATTAACAGAACATCCAGTGGAGACACAGCAGCACTGCCCACATTGTGTGACTGACGTCTCAGTCAAATATGGAAGTGTTCTTCTAACATTAGTGATTAGGGACTGTGTGAAAATGTTTTGGGTAGTAAAGGAGCAACCCCCCCCCCAAGATTATTACCATTTTCCCTCCTCTTGAAAGATTTGTAACATGTTAAATTAATATACTAGTACAAACCTGGTAAAACAAAAGTGCTCCCCAGTAAATCTCTTCCTATTTTAATGAGAATCAAATGTCTGTCACCAATGTACATGTTAAAAACCCTGCTGCAGAACAGGGATGCCACTTTTACTGAAGACAGATTTTTGTTTGAAGATGGGGGGAAAAATGAACATTCAATCTGTAATGGTCCGTTTACATTTTATTTATTTATTTGTCTGTAAACACAGCACACCATTTCAAGTAGTTTATATATTGTCTATTTCTTGTGGTCCAGCAGGGGGCGCTCCTAAAATTCACAATAAATCAAGCAAATATACAAAAATTGAAAAAGACACCAGTGAGCCAAGTTGTGGGAATTGGATAATCACAGCACCAAAGCAAATAAGAAGCAGTGTGTGGAAGTATTTAGAGCTCTGCACTGTAAATCTCACAGTTACTCACGATAAGGCTGTTTACTGATTTAGTAAAAAGCATCCGACACCCAGCAGCTCTAAAGGAGCTGGAGATCAATCGTGTCTATAGTCATTTCAAATGGCTGCGCTGGAAGAGTGAAAAGCTGGCTTTGATAGAAAGAGCAGAGACGCAGTATTGTTTATAAATGACAATAACATGAATAGTTTATGTCTGTCCAGGAAGACATTGCACTTGAATGTGTAACAAATGACAAATGAGAGCTAGAAATGGTAGTTTTCTCATCTCCATATGAACAGCCATTCACAACATGAGTGAGAGAGTGAGAGTTGGTTTCCGATGCCATGTGACCAGTGTAGCTCGGAAGGATTGTAAATCCCACTACACAGATACTGTATTGACAACAAATCAAAGAACTTGCGTGAAATCTGTGACCCATGTGAGGAACGGGAGGCGCCAGCGATGAGTCGCACAGTGTTTCCTTAATGCAGTGGAAGTCCAAGACGTCTACACTGCGTGGGTTGTGTCTGAAGTAGTCATTTAAATCAGTGACATGTTAGTTCAGAGTGTAAGGAAATATCTTTGCAAATAATACCTATTTTGCAAAAGAGGGCTGAAATAAAATTAGGATGAGAACAAAAATAAAACATGTCTGTCAAAGTACCTTCAGCTCAAAAAGAAAAAAAAAAAAGCACCTATAACACCCAACCCCCTTTTCTGACCTCCTCATTCCCAAATAATTTTCACACAGTCCCTTAGTTGAAGCAGTTATTGTAGTGTAGGTGCAGGACTGTAATAACAGGCTTGTACTGGTTCAGTCTCCTGAGTCTGCTTCCTTGTCTCTCTCTGACTCTGTGGAGACTGACAGCTACAGTGAAGGTGGGAGGGCTGGAGACTCAGACGGTGTTTGTGACGATCTCGGGGCCTCATTGTGCGTCCTCCGTCACTTCTGATCTGATTAGCGTGTCTTTTGTAACCTGAGTAACCAGGCAACAACAGTTGTCTGCTTACAGGCCTGCCTACTGTGTTGTGTTTCACTTGCCTTTTCTCTCTGTGTCTGTCGCTGTTTATTCACTCCCGCCTCCACAATCATTAGCAAATATGTACACACACACACACACACACACACACACACTGCTAAAGCCTCTGTTCATACAAAATATGCCACCCTTTGATTCTCTTAACCAGTAATAACACTGGAGCTACTGTGTGTAATTTTCCATTTTCAATAGATGACAAAACCTTTCTTGTTAGTGGAAACAGCATCTAAGTGTCTTGGGTTGGGGGGGTTGATGACCCTACCCCTCCCCCCTGGTTATGCACTCATTGATTCAGTCATCTGTCTGTTTACAACATTTGATATTTGGAAGGTCATGGTGAACCCACCATGCTAAGATAACTAGCTTCCATTAGCTCAGCTAACCAATGTTAGCACTATGGCATCATGTAATTTCAGCAAATTCTATTGGTGATAACTCTTTTTCTTCTTCCTCCTCTGTCTCATAAAGGAAAGATGAGCAGCACAGGGCTCTGCTTAATGTGGTCCTGCACCATGTTAAAAAGTAATTACACAGTAAATGTATTGACAAGTAGTGAAATAATCATACTGTGTAGCGGTACTCCTTAGCCTTTAGTGCCGCTTTACGGTGCAGGTCTTAGCTCTTACATACTGTTTTCTGTCTGTCTGGAAATTACTGTTGTTCAACAAATCTATACATAAACCAAAAGAACTGAGGGTATTTATATAAAAGAATTTATCTGCAAAAATATATTTTAATTTCAGTTTGACATTCAAATCTATACTAGGAGAAGATGAGACCTGATTTCAGAAGCGTGCCATGAGAACTCAGCTGTGCCAGAGAAAAGAATCTGTCTGTTTTTCCTGGTGCTTTGAAGCAAAAGAAGCACATATGTGTGGTTATCTGTTTTCTTTGGTAAACTGTTGATTGTCTGTTTATAAAACCAGCATGCACACACACACACACACACACACACACACACAAACAAACAGATAGAACAGAAACCCCTCACCGGGCTCGGACAGAGCCAGCACTCCTCGCTCTGGGGCATCTTTGCCGATCTCCTCCTCCTCCAGCTGGTACGAGTCAAAGCTGTAGCTCTGCACCACGCCGCCCTCTCTTCCCTCTTTCCAGCCCTCCCTCCCCACATCCCTCCATCCAGCTCTTCCTCCGTCCCTCCACACATCCCTCTCCTCGGGCGTCTGGGCCGGCGTGGGCCTGCGGCGCTCGGCTACTGCTGAACTCATCTCAAGTTTAAACTTAGCACTCCTCTTGACTCGGCAAGCTAAACTCTCTTGGGAGCATGCATGTTAAATGCAATCCCTGAAACACGTCCTGGAGAGACGCAGGAGGCCGTCGGATGATGGAGGATCTGCAGGAGGAGGCGGCGAGAAACAGGGGCAGGATTGAAATGTAAAAGAAAAGACAGGACTGGATTAAGAAAAACAATCTGTCGGTGTCTTTCTGAAAGTGAGTGGAGGTTAGATACACCAGAGAAACCTAGTGGGCTCTGTGCGTGTGAATGTGTGAGTAGCATATTAAATAAAGGAAACATGTTGACAAAGGTGAACATAGACCTGTCCAGGGTGTACCCTGCCTCCTCCCAGCCCCCCCCTCCCCATGACCCCGCTCAGGGATTAAGCAGTAGAAGATGAATGAATGGTGACAAAGGATGCACAACTGTGTGACAGATGAGGTGAGCGCAGATGCAGCTCTGCATTCAGTCACCAGGCACCGCAACATACATTTCATGCGGCAGTATCCAATCCTCACTGGTTCAGGCTTCTCACATATAAAATCTTCTGCTTTCTCCGGATTGTATCGCAGTATAGTCACAGTTTTGCAGACTAATTGTTACCAAGCAAACAACCCCAAGACATCACTTTGGCCTTTTTCACTATTGTATGACATTTAATAAACTAAACAGTCGATTTATTAATCAGTTAAAGGCAAACAGACGACTCTGTCTATATAATCATCAAAATAATGATTAATTGTAGCTCTACACAATTAGTAAGATAATTAAGCAGGAAATTAGAACAGTAAACAAATCAGCTGACAAGAACCTTCATGATTAGCTAATGCATCTTGAAAATGAAAAATAAAGGCCAGAATAGGGGCAGGTGGCTGCTGTTATCCTGTAATAATTGTTTTCACTCAGTCGGGGTGTTGTGTGTTTGTAAAACAGAAGATTATGCCCATTGCAGTTGACATGTTTTTATCAAAAACATTTAATTTACAGCACTATGAATGAGAGAGAAGCAGAATCTTGGCAGATCTGAGAAGCCAAAACCAGAATATTTTCCATTTTTGTTTGAAAAATGATCGTCAGTTATGTAAATAGTTGTTGATAAGTGCTCTGGTCCACCTGCACCAGCACAGACTGCATGAATCACAACCCTTTACATTGTAGTGTAGTTGGACAGAGCCCTGCTGGTCGTTATACTGTTTTAAAATAAAGGTACAAAGCACAAGAGCATCATCTATGAAACTTTAACTGCCCCGTGTTTAAAACATTCTTTAATAACCTAAGTACAAAAGTACTGCAAGAATCCAAAGATCGAAAATGTGTAGTAGTTTTTGTGTAACCTGCAAAATGAGGGCTTGTGTTAAAGAGTTAATGATCCAGCTGTGTGCAGCAGCAGCAGCTGTTAAACACGTTGGTGTGATGAGAAGCAGAAATGTGAATCACGGCTCAATAAGCTGCCTTCGTTCACTCCAGTCAACAGGGAGCTGCTGAGGACAATGTTATTGTACAAACTAGATCAATATAAACGGGTACTGCCATTGATCCAGGCCCTAAACACAAGGCTCGTTTACTGCGTGCACCCCTCCGCCCCCAGGCCTCCCACTGCTCACCTCTGACACCGCAGCGTCACGTCTCAGCCCTGGCCAGACAGGAGCGGGGCTTTAGGGCCGAGATCCGGGGTTAAAGCTGGAGACCGACAGCATCAGATGATGTAACAAGGTCTGCGCCTCTGTAACGGGAGAACAGGTGGTTGGCCAGCAGCTGGCTCGGTGGAGGCGCTGTTTGTTGGGGCTGCTGTTCAATCTAATTACCACAGTTTTACTGGCCGGAGCCGCGTTTGGCGGAGTTCTGGTTCCAGACGAGAGGTGGCGCTCTCCCCCGTGCAGCTCGTTTCACGCTGCGTTTTCTACTGTTTACTTGATAAAATGAGCATCGAGAATGAGCACAATGACAGGTCTGACGTCTCCGGGAAACAACCTACACATTTTGGTTTTAACCGCGTTAACTTTAACCAATTACCGTCATGTGTTGTGTTTAGTATAGAGGCGCACGTAGAAATAAAAAGGCCTAATTAATAAAAAGCAAAAACCAGACAGCAGCGCAGGATACACGAGGGCGGACATCACATTTACTCCGCTTCTCCTTCCACATCATTGAGCCCATCCGAATCAAGTCCAGCGTAGTTTGTGTGTATGTCTGCGCCCAGCGAAAAACAAAAACACACAAACAACAGGTTATTAACGGCCCCCTTACCTCTCGTGTCAGCCCCTCTCGTCCTCGCCCTCCGCTTTTACAGAAGCCCAGTCCGTCCAGGATCAGGATCCCCGAGGTGGTGGACTCCGCCGGTCGGACCTGGTCCCTCCTCAGCCCGTCTCCATCAGTCAGACAGAAGGGAAGCCCCGGTGCCGTCCTGCGTGCGTTCCTAACGCACCATCCAGCAGGGAGAAAATGAAGCGTGGATGGATGAGGAGAGCGAAGGGGGAGGAAAGAGGAGGGGGGGTGGGGGTGGGGGGGTTGCCTCTGGCTGTTTATCGTGCGCAAAAGCTCTAATGGAGTGGAGGATAAAAACATCTAAATGCATGTTCAACAACTTTTTCCATGCAGAATAGAGTTAGTCATTTAATTCACCCCAAACACCACAGACAGAAGTGTTTTGTTATTTAAATGCCAAAGCATTGGTCAGTGTTGCAGCCATGGCAAAAAAAACAACATACAATCAGATGCTGTCACTTAAACTCCTCCGATTGTACAGGTGGGGACATAAATCCCAGGAGCACCTGCAGAAATGTATTTAAAATAGGGTTTTCCATTCAAGGCGCTCTCTTGCTGTGTGCTGTAGCCACATGTGTGTTGCCAGAGCAGAGGCCTATATAGAAGGAGACAGGGTAGAAAAGGACAAAGGAGCAATAGAGGACAAAAATGCATCCCTCATCTTCTTTCTCTGATTTTCTAACATGCAGTCACACATGCTGCAGTGGAGCCTCTGTGGGACTGACGGTGTTGTGAGTGCACTTCAGTGTACTAATGCTTTATCATTGGCAGGGGCTCGGTCATAACGCACACCTCCACTGTTCCCACAGAGGAGCAGAGCCAGTTGTAGCTGTGGTTTAGGTGCTGCCAGTCCAGTATAACAGACTCAGGATCTGCTGCTGCTGCAGCTTGTGGGTTTCAATCCCACTTTTAGTCTCTTTGACTTTGCACTCTGTCTAAATAGTGGGAGATGTTGATTCAGAATCCAGCTCATGTAGGTTTTGGCTCAACATCGCCAGTTCACATCAAAGATCAGCTCTTTCAGGTGATGTCGCTCATCAAGGTTCAACCATCACTGAATCTGTTCTGTGGTGAATTTCAGTCATTGCTGCATTTGCAAAAGAAGGTCATGCTGATTTTATTTTTCAAAGACTAGAGAGTTTTGGGAGTTAATGTCCTAAATACCTGCTCATGTTTTTTTTTTTTACAGAGAGTTCGACCAGAAGATTGCTACCGCTCTTATAACTGCATGAAAAACTGAAGCTGCCACCACAACCAGTTAGATTAGCTTAGCATAAAGAGTGGGACCAGACAGAAACAGTTTAATGTGTAGAACGAAATAAATAAAAGGAACATATTAATTATTGGGCCTTAGAGGAGCTGGTAGCTGTTTGGACAGGGCAGCTGTTCCTCCTGTTTCTAATCAGTCACTCATTTCATTTTAGTTTGTACAGATTTGTGCAATTCAAAGTGATTTAATGAGCAACAAGCTGATGAGACACAAGAAATGTTTACGTTAAGTTTGTTTGCTGTGTTTACGCTAAGCTAAGTGTCTGCTAGCTGTAGCTTCATATTTACATTTATATTTATCAGTCTCTTCTAAATTTCAGAACGAAAGTGAAAAAGCACATTTACCAATTTATTTCTTTAAATAAATGTCTTTGCTTTTTTTACGCTAGAATTTAAATTTTGTGATAAAGAACACGAACCTTTGAGCCTTTAACAGAAAACTATATTGAAATGTTTGGTCACATTTTGCAGAAAAATAATGAAAATAATCACAAACGAATGGTAAACGCAGAGCTGCTGTTCCAACTGTCAAGATTTGGACAAACTAAACTTCCCATTGAAACGGGCTCCAACTCAGTTCATGTCCAGACTCCTGTTCAAGGAAACGCATCACAGTTTACTGTACAAAGGGGCTGCAGTGAAAGCCAGAGAAACATTTACAGATCCTTTCTCGGACAATAAAACAACAGTGACCTGTGACTGATCAAACAAACTGCTCTTTATGACACATTACAAACATCCTGTGGTGCATCGGACGTCTTGACGCTGGTTCAGAAACACGTTCATGAGATGAATTTAATCTGCGTAAAACCCTCCAGATGACGAGGGCGTTGCTTTCTGGTCGTCTGTCTACTTATCTGTGCACCTGTCTGTGTGCACTACGGAGGAGCTGCCAGGTTTCTGTCCGTCTCTGTTTGGCTGCACGCCTGCCTCTCTCTGTGTCTGTGGCTTCTTTCTCTTGCTGCTCCTGGATTTATGTTGCGTGTAGAATAAGTAATGGTTTGTCATGTTGCTTTAGCCTCCAGCAGTCTGTCCAGAAACAGGGAGTTACTGTTGATGTGTGTCCCATAAATATTTTCTTTACTAGCTCTCTGTTATGAATGTTTAAAAAGGTCGGCACTTGATTCGCTTCCTTCACTCAAATGATTTTTCTGTCTAACCAGGCCCCTGCAGGACTCTACTGACTGAAGTGTCTCTTATTTACTTTCTAAAACTAGCTTAGAGTTGTTTGTGTGTGTTTGTGTCCATCCCTCCAACTGCTCATCCATCCCTCTGTCCACCCTGGTAAAGATGCTGAGCCTCAACAGGGTCTATTTTTAGCTGCTGGTTCAATCAGTGATGACAGAGCCCCAGCGCCATGACTGTGCATGCTGATATCACCACCACCGCTCACCTCTCTCCACAGAGAGAGAAATGTGAGGGGAGGTGGTGAAATAGGCGAATCAAAGAAACGCTGACAAGAGAATGAGCACAAAGCCACTGAAAACAACAAAAAAAAAAATCCAAGAAAGAGACAGGGGGGCTTAATCCTGTCACAGGGTCGGAGTAGGACGAGAACAACAGCGGCAAGGACAGAAGGAGGTGGTAATGATGTGCTAGACAGGTGAAGAAGAAGAGGGATGTAAGGAAAGAGACAGGTGTAAATGCAGAAGCTAAGGGATGGAGGGGACAGAGGCAGAGAGGGAGGAGGTGGAGGGTTCACACAGGCGGGAGATGAAGATCGAGGGCTGGAAGAAGACGCAGGGAAATAAAGTGAGAGAGAGAATAGCTGCAGCATCTGAGGAGGGAGGAGCAGAGAGGGATGAGAGCCTCAGAGGTGGTGAGAGGAAGAAGGAGACAGCAGGGGGAGGACAGAGAAAAAGACGACATGAGCAGAAACAGGCTGCGTGGTTTTGTATAGAGGAAGAGCAGAACGGTCTCTGTTGGTGTGCAATGAGTAGATGTGGATGGAAAGGAAAGAGGAAGTAACAGGTACACGGAGGAGGAGAGTCAGGGAGTGTCTGTTGAGTCTAGGGTGGACATGTCAAGTTGTTATTGAGCCCAGTCCCGATTGGAGTCCAAAATCTGATCCCATACTTTCATTTACTTAAAGTTGCATTAATGGCAATTTATTTCTATAGCACATTTAAAAACAACAGCAGTTGGACAAAATGCTTTAAAATAAGTTAAAACAAGACTAAAAGCAACAATAAACTAAAGCAATCATAAAGCAGATATAAATATAAAGAAGGCCAAAAAGGAAAACGTCACACCAATGGTAACATAAACAGTGATTGTACACCTGTACTTAAAAAGTTAGAATTAAAAAGTAAATGGTCAGCAGGTCTAAGGGCTCTCATGGGACAGTCAAGTATAAGAAGGTCCAAGAAGTAGCTGGGGGCTAGGTCATTCAGTGCCTTACAAGTCATTAAAGGAACCTTAAGCTGTGTCCTGAAGGAAACTGGTAGCAAGTGACGCCAGAACAGGAGTGATATGGTCCCATTTACGAGTTTGGGCCAAAAAAGCAAGCAGCGACATTCTGCAGCAAAGTAAAATGCAAATGAATTCACATTTGTATCCACTATTGCTCTGTGAATAATACGAACATAAACATCTGGTGGTGAAAGTTCTCTAGTCTGCCAGTAAACCACTGCAGAAGAAGAGGACCCAGCACATTCCGTGATGGTCAGCACAGAAACTCAAGTAGAAGCTCCTGACGTGCGCTGTGCAAAGTGGCGCCACCTTAGCTATAGGGCTAATGTAGCGAAGGTGGATCACTATGTTTTAGAGGCTCAAAATGTGTTTTTGAAACAGTCTTGGTTGCAGCACTTTTGCATGCTGGTATTTCACTGGTTAAATGAGCTGTTTGTATGATATGAAGGCACTGTACACTGTGGGAAATTCAGAAACAACCTGACTACTCATTTTCTCATCAAGCAGGGGTCAGCAGTGATTGGCTGCCCACATAAAGGTTAGTGCAACTGGGGTCAAAGTTCAACTAATCTGAATTTTCAGTGCAGCCTCACAGCACAGACACAACAATGGTGAAGCTGTTTTTCTGCAAAAACCTGAATACGCCATAAGATGATATGATTCATAAGCGCTGACATTTCAGTGTTTAATGTGCACGTCTGTTTTGTCTGTTGCTCATTTTCACCTTCGCTGAAGCGACGTGATTCACCGGCATCACGACAAATTTGCTAAGTCTGTTTCCACTGAACTTTGTGTTTTGCTTTTATAAATACAGAAACTTTTCCACCTTAGCCAAACTTTTGGGGAATATTTTAAGGTTTTTTCAAATTCCCAGCTTCTCCACTCGGGTTTCTTTTATGGAAATAGAGCAAATAAAAACTGGGGGTTGGAAACTCAGCCAGTGATTTTTGTCTCTTCCTCTTTCACTGGGAATCTGTTTTCTTTTATCTCATGCACAGAAGCAGGCACCAGAATATTTCACTGGTTGTCACTCATGCACAGACACACAGTTGTGTGGTTTTTATTTCTGTATGCTACATAAACACGTACACAGATACACACTCACTCACACATGCACAAATGATCTTTTTGCCTTGTGGGACGTGTTCACAGAGAAATGTAAACAGTCAAACAACGTGTACACGTGCACTCTTGCGCACACACAGCTGTGTGACACACCAACACACACATCCAGGTGTGTTCACACACCAACACACACACAGGTCATGTATTCATCAAAGCAAGATATTTAAGTATTTATCTGCCATCCAACGTGTTAAAAGAAGAGCTTACATTTTGGGAGACTTGAGAAGGACGACTTCTTGGCCTCAGCCCACCTCCGGTGTTACACCCTAAGCTGTGACCCGTCAGGTTCTGTGACCAGCTCACCTTCAGATAACATTAACTGCATCATGCAGCAAAACACCAGTGATTTATGAAAAAGCACCGTGTTATTTCAAGCACAGCCCCCGGCGATGAGCAGAATGAGTGAGGACAGGGTTAATGGAGGTCACAGAGCAGTGAGAGAGTATGTGGTGAATGTCCTGCAGCCCTTCTGCTCAGCACACTGTCCGTGGTTCAGGCTTGATAGTTCATTACTGTTTCTGTCAGTGTTGTGCTCATCTGGTCACTGGTGACGACAGTGTACTGAAACAGAATCGATAAGGGATTTGAAAGGATTCAGGTTCAGAAAGAGAGAACCCCTCTCTAATCAAAATGTTCTCTTAATATGCTAGTCCTTATGCTAAGCTAAGCTAACTGGTAGTTTCATCTCTACTGTACAAACGTGAGAGGTAAAAGGCAAATAAAATCACATTCCCAAAAAAGTAAGTTCTGGCCAGTCCCTGAAAGGTGCAGTACTGTAGTAGTAGTAGTACTGCTAGATGGGGACATATTACACAGAATGTATATATTCAATAACAAGCAGAAGTGCATAGGGATCAAGTGATCCAGGATTTGTAGTTTGAGCAGCACTTCTGGATGTAACTGATCAATAAATAGGATCTGGTGATTTGATCCAGCCTGGGAAAGTTCCAAACAGTTCAGTTCAGTACTTTATTGCCATTTCAACATAGCTGCTAGGAACTGACTGTGCTCTGCTGAGCCCACGTTTAAAACAAGACAATACCAGCAACAGCACAGACGACCAAAACCAGCAGGTGTCAAACATTTAAAACTGAAAACTACCAACTGTTACATTGTCAGAGCCTAGACACAGGTCTGCCAGCCCAAGAACCTGACATGCACCTGGTTCCATGATAAACCCTGTGTCACAGGTGTCCTGGCATGAACCCGACACTCCATCATGAATCAAATACCCCTTGGAGGAACCACACCGACCCTGACTCTGACATCCAAGATGGCTGCACTGCGCATCAACAGTCGTGAGAGCCATAGTAATATACCAGTTATTAGCACTGTCTTATTTGTGTCTTACTAAACAGTTGGACAAACAGTACTGTCTATCTTGGTCGGCTGGCTCGTTGCTACCATGTCTGTATGAGCTGACACCACATAATGCCTTGTTATAAACTAGCAATGCTAAAAGTGGCTAACAACAGCAAACCTCGTCCGTGTTGGTTTTCCGACTTGGCGTACTGGAATGTGGCATAACGGTTTTTTGCACATCCTTTATTTAATCCTGGCACTGTCACATGAATGAGCACGTGTACTGTGGTGTCAGAGATAAACTTCATCTCTGTTTCTGCAGCTTAAGACTCCCCACAGGTGCGAAGTGCTGCGGCAGGCCTCGGTGGGTGGTGGGAAACATTTACAAGTTTAATTATTAAGGCGTCACCCGCCCCGCATGTTGTGTGTCCAGGCAGGAGGAACAACGTGACAGGATGGATCGCATGAAAAAGCACCAACCATCAATCATCAAACAGTTCGAGGCTTGCAGTGGGAAACAGGTCAGTGAGAGGATCCAACTTCACCATGTTTCTGTGTCAGGTGACATCCCCAACAGCCTATAAGGGTTTATTTGAGCACTGAACACAACCTTCACCCCAGTTAGCGGGTGCGGTCACAGACACACAAACACCAGATGGAAGTAACCGAGTTTAAATCATTAGCACAGGCCTGAAAACCAAAGAGAATGTACGGGTAGTGTGTTTCTCTCTGAGTGTGTGTGTGTGCACATTCCGACTGACGCACACCAGCTTCCACATGTTCACTGCTTTCACCAGGAACACAGAAGCCCTGCTCTCTGATTGGCTGTCAGCTGTCTGTTAACAGTTTTAGCCTGGTCAGCTAGAAAAAACTTAGGTAACGATGCTCACTGATACTGGGCTATAACATCTTAGTCGTTAGGGGACATTGTTGGCCTTCAAAAGGACTGAAACACCACTGATGTGGATAAATATCTCCGACTCAATGCCAGTCGGGCAGAACTGATGAAGCCTCTTGGATGAGAGGTGAAACATCTTTGACCTAAAACCAAATCCAGTTGATTTTTTTCTATGTTTTGTCAGCTTACTATGACCTGGATGACTGGAATCTGCACAGACTTTTAGCCTGGTCATGCAGGTAGCCTCAGAAAGGGCTGTGTCACACTCTGTTAGCAGTTAGCTCACTCAAGGACCCCCCAAATCACCTAAGCACCATCAGAAACCCCTCAGAGACCCCTGGTACCTCATTACGGATGTCTGCAACCTGCTCAATGATCTTTATAATTCCTTCAGGGACCTTTACAACTTCATGACATGCTGAAAAACATCTACATCTAACTCCCTGATATCAGTACCAAACCCAAGGACCTCTAGCACCTGCTTAAGGACAACTCCTAAATCCTAAAGGACCTCTGTACCCTCATCAAGAACCACTACCACCTGCTCAGAAATCACATTCACAAGCAGTCTGTAGTTTTGTTCAATTGTGATGATGGTACAGTCACAGGTGTTACATGCAGTAGTACTGAATACTTCAGGAACATTTAAGTTTGTATCACCTCTGTAGAAATTAGACTGTGATGTCTCCAACTTTATCTTCAGATACATTTCTAATAAAAGCCATAAATTAACAAAGTATTGCACATACCCAGCGGTATAGTTGTTTTTGGCGCCCTGTTTTAGTTTTAGTTTTAGTCTAGTCTTTGTGTGAAGCTGTCATTATAGTTTTTATATTTATACTCTTTTTAGTCTAGTCTAGTTTTAGTCTACAAAACTGATGACATTTTAGTCTAGTTTTAGTCAATGAAAATTGTATTTTACTCTCTTTTTAGTAATGCAATTCTATTTAACCCAGTGTATAGAGTATAAGTACCTAGTAGTATAGATGAAACCAAAAGTTTTTTTTAGCCAAACCCATTTCAAACCAGGTTATCTTATTATATTATTGTTACCTTATAGACTTAAGAATACATCCAATACACATTTTGTGTGATTTTGTGGCCACATTTCTCCCCATCTTTTTCCACAACAAATTCCGTTTTTCTTTTTTTTCCAAAGTTTTTCCAAATGTCGTTTCTTCTTTTTCTCCAAATGACAAACCTTGACTGGCCGGCCATCGGTCCCTTTCTCTTTGTCAGACTTAACTTTGTTTGTTGTCGTCTTCTAAATAATGCCGCGAGTGGGGCTTAAGGAAGTGACGTCACCTGCGTCTGCGCAGTGCGACGTGATGCGGCCCCTGAAGCGAGACACAGGAAACAGAAATACTGCAAACTAATAATAATAGCGCGACTGAACGAGATGAAATAACATAACATTTCATCTCGTCTTGGTCAACGAAAATAAAGAGACATTTTGGCATAGTTTTTATTTTGTGAGCCACATTTAGGCTCGTTTTTTTTTTCGTCAACAGTGTTGCATTATACATTTAGTTATAGTCATCGTCACATGACCAGCATTTTTCGTTGCATCTCGTCTCGTTTTCGTCACGCGATAAAGGTTCGTTGACGATGATATTTTGTCAGAATTTTCGTTGACGAAAGCAACTATACACGGCGGTACTCCGTACACCTGGGCAGGTGGCCAGCCTACCACAGAACTGACATAGAGAGACAGGTACTGACACCTAAGGGCAGGCTGGAGTCACCAGTCAGCCTGAGCTGCAGGTGTCTGGACCGTGGGACGAGATCCCCAGAGGTCTGGGGGAACATGCAGACTCACCACTGAGCTACTATTGTTTTTAACCTTTATTATTATTATTATTTATTCAGGGATGCCCTGTTCACATTCACGTGGTTATACAGTCAGGTCCATAAATATTGGGACATCGACACAATTCTAACATTTTTGGCTCTATACACCACCACAATGGATTTGAAATGAAACGAACAAGATGTGCTTTAACTGCAGACTGTCAGCTTTAATTTGAGGGTATTTACATCCAAATCAGGTGAACGGTGTAGGAATTACAACAGTTTGCATATGTGCCTCCCACTTGTTAAGGGACCAAAAGTAATGGGACAATTGGCTTCTCAG